GGAGGCAAAGGTGGCAGGATCGATTAAGCCCAGGAGTTTGAGACCAGAGGGGGCAACACAGAGAGAGTCTGTCTCTACAAGAAATTAAAAAATTATCCAGCCATAATGGTGCACACTGCTGTCCCAGCTATGCAGGAGGCTGAAATGGGAGGATCCCTCGAGTTCTAGAAGCCAAGGCTGCAGTGAGTGGAGATTGCGCCACTGCACTCCAGCCTAAGTGACAGAGCGAGACTCTGTGTCAAAAATAAAATAATTCCACGCCACCAAGACAAAATCAAGTTGTTTGCCTGACCTTCCAAGAAATCAGGAGATCCAAATAGGCCAGTCTTAGCTGGCATGATAAGGAAGTCCCCTCTGCTCTAACCTTTACAAGGAAAGTAACTATGAAACAGCCAGTCGTTGTTCTTTGTTTCTGCTGTCTTTGGCTGTTTATTTATTTGACAGTCTCACTCAGATGCCCAGGCTGAAGTGCAATGGCACAATCTCGGCTCACTGCAACCTCCACCTCCCGGGTTCAAGGGTTCTCCCATCTCAGCCTGTTAAGTAGTAGCTGGGATTACAGGCATGAGTCGGCACGCCTGACTAATTTTTGTATTTTTTTTTTTTTTTGAGATGGAGTTTCGCTCTCGTTACCCAGGCTGGAGTGCAATGGCGCGATCTCGGCTCACCGCAACCTCTGCCTCCTGGGTTCAGGCAATTCTCCCGCCTCAGCCTCCTGAGTAGCTGGGATTACAGGCACGCGCCACCGTGCCCAGCTAATTTTTTTTTGTATTTTTAGTAGAGACAGGTTTTCACCATGTTGGCCAGGCTGGTCTCCATCTCCTGGCCTGAAGTGGTCTGCCCGCCTCAGCCTCCCAAATTGCTGGGATTACAGGTGTGAATCACGGTTCCTGGCCTCTTCATCCTTTTTCTATAAATACTACCCAGGTTGTAGAACTGAATTCTCTGAACTTCTGGTTCTACTGACAGATGTGCAGATTGTTCTTTGCTCAAGTAAGCTGTTAAATTTGTTTTGTCTAAAGTGTTTCTTTTGTTGTGGTCTTCAACACTCGCTGGGCCCTTAATCCCGTAGTTCCTGGTTCTTTCTCCCTCTCTCCACAGCAGCCATTTCAAGCCATTTCTCAAGTTTAAGAGCACTCCATTGCACTCTGTGCTTGGCAAGCCTATCGTCCTAACTACTAAGCTTTCTAGGTAAAATACTTAACGGTCTGTGCTCCTTGCTATAAGCCAACCCCACTGCCCCAGTCCGGAGTCAAGGCAGCCCAGCTCAAAGGCAGTTCCTCCCACTCAGAGAGGTCCACGGGAAACTGCTCCCAATACAGATGCTCGTTGCAGTGAATATTGGCTGACCCCTTTCATCAGACTTTCTTTTAGTGAATACAAACGCTTATGGGGCCTCCAAAAGGGAGCTTTCCAAAACTAGGGTCATTCAATTTTCTGAGGTCTCTTATTAACCTCAGTTTTAGAAGTACAAGGGCACACAGTGACTGGTCAGCTGCTGAGGGGGTCTATCCTATTTCTGAGCCCTGTGCATGCTTGCAATATAATCCCACATGCATCCTTCTTGCAGTCTGTGGGGACTCAAATAAATGCAGGCTCAGCCGTAGTGCTGACCTAGAACCAGTTTCCCCTCATTCTTGATGGTTGACTTTGCTCTTACCTCCAGGCCAAGTTTGCTCTTGCTAGCTTCCTTTAGGCTTTTTTTTCTGCCACAGCTGAAGCTTGAGTGGCCTACCAAGGGGAGGAGGGGTTGGTGCAGTCTGCTCAAGGTGCAGGAAATTAGATGGGTGATGTCCGTGGAGATTTTTAAACGAACTGATTAATTTATCTGCTCTTAACCATTGCCATAATAAAACCATCATAAAAACCATTGCTTGCCATACTAACGCATAGCGGATAAGTAAGGTACTGTTACAGGATCTCCGAGGTGTTCATTTTTCTGGCCGGAAACATCTGTGGGTATGGTGCATCCAGAATGAGGTACTCAGACAAACGAAAAGTGAGTAAGAGTTTTGTTTACTGTTAGAATAGCTCAGAGGAGTGAAGGTGCGTAGCTCCTCTCTGTAGGCAGGAGTTTTGTTTAGTGTTAGAATAGCTCAGAGGAGCGGGAGTGGGTAGCTCCTCCCTGTAGGCAGGTCGCCCCATAAAGTGTTCAGCTGTCTTAGAGAGAAGGCCCTGGACAGAAGAGCTCCTCTCTGCAGACTGATGATTTGGACATTTCTGTCGGTCGCCAGAGCTGTCAGCAGAGAGGGTAGTCCTCTCCGCCAGCAGTCTCTGCAGCTCTCAGAAAAGAGTCATCCTCTCTGGAGCTGGTTGCCCCATCGCCTCCAGCTACCAGCAGAGAGAGAGAGAGTACTCCTCTGTACAGTGGGTCATCCCATCCTTTCTCTTCTCTCTTAGTTCTCTGGCCGTCCTCTGCTTTGCTCCAGCTGAGCCCAGGGCTTTTATGGACTTCAGAGGGGAGGAGGTGCATGCCAGTTGGTCCACAGGCAGCCATGGACAGCCCGGAAAAAGGCACCACGAGTCCCCATTCTGGTCCAAGGGACTGGCAGCCTGCCCTTAGCCTTCAGGCCCTCCCAAATTCCTGAGATTACAGGGGTGAGCCACCACACCCAACCTATTTCTGCTTTTGTGCACTTGATACAAAATAAACAATGAAAGCGTGGAGACTATAAAAATGGAGAAAGAGAACTTATTTCAATTCTGTCGTTGTGTATGTAACCACCTGGAATATATATTGTGCTTAAGATTTGAAACAAAGAGTGTGAAGTGAGAGTTGTGGTATTTTGTTTGGAAAGAAAAAATTTTAGTTCATACTTGAAATATTTTATTGAGTTTCAATAAAGTTGTTTTATAGTAACATTTGTTACTGTTATTTAAAACTAATGACTTGGCCGGGCACGGTGGCTCACACCTGTAACCCCAGCACTTTGGGAGGCTGAGGCAGGCGGATCACCTGAGGTCAGGAGATCAAGACTAGCCTGACTAACATGGAGAAACCCCATCTCTACTAAAAATACAAAAAATTAGCCAGGCATCATGGTGCATGCCTATAATCCCAGCTTCTCTGGAGGCTGAGGCAGGAGAATTGTTTGAACCCAGGAGGCAGAGGTTGCAGTGAGCTGAGATCACACCATTGCACTCCAGCCTGGGCAACAAGAGGGAAACTCCGTCTCAAAAAAAAAAAAAAAAAACACTCATGACTCAAGAACATGTCCATATCAGTGGCATGATTTAGTATTATTCCCTACATTTTATCTTTTTCCTGAAACACAAAAGTATTAATGCATTATTATTTTCTTTTTTGTATTGTAATTTTTTTAAGAGATATGGTCTTTCTCTGTCACACTAGAATGTAGTGGCATGTTCATAGTTCACTATAGCCTCAAACTCCTTGGCTCTAGGGATCCTCCTGCCTTAGCCTCCTGAGTAGCTGGGACTACAGGCACACACCACCATGCCCAGCTTGTGATTTTCTATTAAACAATCTTTTTACTCACATAATTATAAGTAGAGAGTTCAAAAATAGAAAAACGTCACTTTCTGCTTTTACTTTCTGGAATTTTCTTTACGATTATTTCTGAAGATAACTTTGTCATAGAGTGGGGTTTGTGTGTTAAAAATTATCCTCTGGGTGGGTGTCTAATAAACTCAGCACACCTCTGGGTCCTCCTTCCAGTGCAGCTGTGTTCACGCCTGTGCTCTCCTGCCTTCTCAAATGCCACACTTGTTCCACAGCCTTGCCTATGTCTTCCTCACCACCTTCAACCTTTCCCTATCTCCTGGCAACAAGTGAACATGATCGATCATGTTTAAATATTTTCCTCTCTTGACTTCTGCTTCAGTGCCAGGTTTCTTTAAAGGGGTTTCTGTATCTGCTGACTCCGTGGGTTCACTCGCTGCTGTATCTACAGCCCACTGCAGTGTGACCCTCGCACCCACTGTATTGCTGACCTTCTCTCACAAAGCCCAACAGCTACTTCTTATTAATAAAGTTTTGGACTGTTTTTCGTATTTACCATTACTTGACTTCTGACGGTTGATCCTTTTTTTTTTTTTTTTGAAACAAAGCCTCGCTCTGTGGCACACACTGGAGTGCAGTGGTGTGATCTTGGCTCGCTGCGACCTCTGCCTCCCTTGTTCAAGTGATTCTTGTGCCTCAGCCTCTTGAGTAGCTGACTACAGGTGCGTGTCACCATGCCTGGCTAATTTTTGTATTTTTAGTAGAGACAGGGTTTCACCATGTTGGCCAGGCTGGTCTGAAACTTCTGGCCTCCAGTTATCTGCCTGTTTCAACCTCCCAAAGTGCTGGGATTACAGGCCTTAGCCGCTGTGCCTGGCCTGCTTATTTCTTAAAATGCTCACATGCGAGATGCCACACTCTCCTGGTGTGTGTTGCCTTTCGGGTTCCTGCTTCGCAGCGTACTGGCTACTTCTTTTCTCTCTGCCTGTCTTTTAAGTGTCAGTGGTCCTCGGGTTTGTCCTGAGCCCTCTTATCTCTCTCCACAGTCTTCCTGAGCGATCTCATTCACCTTCAGAGTGAGGACAGCAAGGCTCCAAGAAGTGGAGTAATCTTTCCAGGGTCTCGCTGTGATAGCAGCAGAGTAAGGGTCAGAATCAGTGCATTCTGTTTAACATATGTCTGTTGTGCGCTTGACACGGTGCCGCGCACTGGGGAGACAGATGTAAATAGGATGCTATCCTTCTCCCTCCAGTTTCTGCAGCCTGCAGAGGCCTCTATCTCCCTCCAGCTTCTGCAGCCTGCAGAGGCCTCCGTCTCTCTTCCATTTCATCTGGCCCCTGCCTGTCTAACTCCTACTTATCCTTCACACATCGGTTTAGATGTCGCTTCATCTGGGAAACTTTTCTACTACTCTAAGACTTCCTTCTCCTGGGTGTGTCATACCTTTTACCTGTTCTCTTGCATTTCCCATGTTGTATTCTAATAACCATTAAATATACTTTTCTGTTCTTCCCCACTGGGCCTCCTTTTCTTATAGGATTTCTCCTCTGGTTGAGCTGAGAAGAGTAGAACAAACCAAGCCACTAGGACCCACACCAATGCTTCCGTTTTCCCAAGAGGGCCAATGGCCAGGGCAATGGACAATAAGCTTTTGGAGGGTAGCAGGACTGTGTGTCTGTGGCACCATCATACCCTCCGTACCTAACTCCCTACCTGGCAAATGTCAATTGCTCAGAAATTGTTTGCTGTATGAAGAATGACTGAATAAACCACATGACTTTATGCTAAATGTTGGACTAGAACTTTGAGAAATGTCGTCTCTCCCAGGCAAAGAAAAACTTATAGAGTAGGAGGGTTATTCCGTTTGGAAGTGGACAAAGGGGCTAGCTGATTTCTGGAGGTTCCTACCAATCCAGTGATTCTGAGTTTGATTTAATATAGTCCTTGTGTGGGAAAAGAGTATCATTTTTTTCTTTTTATTAAAATTCTGAAGAACATTACGCAGGTATTCATGAAAGTCTAGTTTGCTCGTAGGTGAGAAAGATCACTATGGGTTGTTAGATGAATGAGTCTTTCAAATTAAAGGTCTGCTTATAATTAGATAGCATTGCCACCTAGTGGGTAGTACAGAATGCTTCACGGAACTACATGCCATCCATATTTCTCGGTAAATTATGGATAAGGTTACTAACATTCTGAAACTGAATCTAAACAGGCGAGTTCAGGAAGAATTCTGTTGGCCTGGTATTTACTGTACTTAGGAGTTCTGGCTGACTTCTTACCGTGAAGTCAGCAACGATTTCTGATAAGAAAAGTTCAACATTTCTTTGAGATTTTTTGTCCTGATAATACATCCCACTAAAAGAGTTACGGAATTATGTCTTCAAAATATGCTTGAATACATTCTTTGCTGTTGTTGAGACAGGGTCTCACTCTGTTGTCCAGGCTGCAGTGCAGCTCACCGAAGCCCTGCACTCCTACCTCAGTCTCCAGAACAGCTGGGGTAAAGGTATGTGCCACCACACCTGGCTCATTTTTGTATTTTCTATAAAGACAGGGTGCCACTATGTTGCCCAGGTTGGTCTTGACCTCCTGGGTTTAAGCTATCCTCCTGCCTCGGCTTCCCAAAGTGCTGCAATTACAGGTGTGAGCCATTCGCCCGACCCTTGAATAAATTCTTTTCTCTGTGTGGTTACATTATCAATTTGCTACACAGTTCAGATTGTTTTAGGGTTTGCTGTTTTCATCCATTCTTATTTAATTTTTTCCAATAAATATAAATATTTCAAGCATGGAGGAAAACTAAAAGTTTTTTACACTAAACACTTGGATTCTACCTAGATTCTACCGACATTTTAATATATCTTTTTTTTTTTTTTTTTTTTTGAGACGGAGTTTCGCTCTTGTTACCCAGGCTGGAGTGCAATGGTGCGATCTCGGCTCACCGCAACCTCCGCCTCCTGGGTTCAGGCAATTCTCCTGCCTCAGCCTCCTGAGTAGCTGGGATTACAGGCACGCGCCACCACGCCCAGCTAATTTTCTGTATTTTTAGTAGAGACAGGGTTTCACCATGTTGACCAGGATGGTCTCGATCTCTTGACCTCGTGATCCACCTGCCTCGGCCTCCCAAAGTGCTGGGATTATAGGTGTAAGCCACCACGCCCGGCCTAATATATTTTCTTTATTGCATCTATTTATACATCCCTGTCTCTATCCATCCATCTTATTTTTATTTAATTAATTAGCTAATTGATTTTTTGAGACGGAGTTGTTCTGTCGCTTGTTCTGTCCTCCAAGCTGGAGTTCAGTGGGGCAATCTTAGCTCACTGCAATCTCCGCCTTCTGGGTTCAAGCCCTTCTCCTGCCTTGGCCTCCCACGTAGCTGGGATTACAGGCGCCCAGTGCCACACCCAGTTCATTTTTGTATTTTTAGTAGAGACGGGGTTTTGCTATATAGGCCAGGCTGGTCTCAAACTCTTGACTTCAAGTGAGTGATCCGCCCACCTCAGCCTCCCAAAGTGCTGAGGCCATCTTATTTTTAAAGAAACACTTCAAAGTAGACTGCATTTTGGCCAGGAGCAGTGGTTCATGCCTGTAATCCCAGCAATTTGGGAGGCTGAGGTGGGCAGATCACCTGAGGTTAGAAGTTGGAGATCAGCCTCGCCAACATGGAGAAACCCCGTCTCTACTAAACATAAAAAAATTAGCCGGGTGTGGTGGCAGGCGTCTGCAATCCCAGCTACTTGGGAGGCTGAGGCGTGAGAAACCCTTGAACCCGGGAGGCGGAAGTTGCAGTGAGCTGAGGTGGCGCGACTATACTCCAGCCTGGGTGACAGAGTAAGACTCTGTCTTAAAAAAAACAAAACAAAACATCAAAGACAAACCCCTGCATTTTATAAAACATTTAATCGTTCAAAAGTTAAAAATGAGGTCGGGCATGGTGGCTCATGCCTGGAATTGCTGCACTATTTTCCCATTCTGTTCCCTACACTCTTAAGCAACCGCAACCAATTTCTATTTTCATTAGTTTCAGATGTGGCCTTTCTCGATGGTTTTTTGTTGTTGTTGTTAGACAGAGTCTGGCTCTGTGCCCGGGCTGGGGTGCAGGGGTGCGGTCTCAACTCACTGCAACGTCCGCCTCCCGGGTCAAGCGATTCTCCTGCCTCAGCTTCCCGGGCAGCTGGAATTAAGACGTACACCACAACGCCTGGGTAATTTTTTTGTATTTTTAGTAGAGATGGGGTTTCACCATGTTGACCAGGCTGGTCCTGAACTCCTGATCTCAAGTGATCAGCACACCTCGGCCTCCCAAAGTGCTGGGATTACAGGCTTGAGCCACTGCGCCGGCCTTTTTTTTTTTTTCTTAGACAGGGTTTTACTCCTGTTGCCCAGGCACGATCTCAGCTCACTGCAACCTCTGCCTCTCCCTGGCTCAAGCAATTCTCTTCCCTTAGCCTCCTGAGTAGCTGGGACTACATGCATGTGCCACCACACCTGGCTAACTTTTGTATTTTTTGCAGAGACGAGGTATCATTATGTTGCCCTGAGTATTCACCAACTCCTAGGCTCAAGTGATCCACCCACCTCAGTCTCCAAAAGTGTTGGGATTTCAGGAGTCAGCTCCTGGCTGGCCTCAGCTATTTTTGATAGCTTGAACTGTGTCCTTACATTTCCTAGTTTCAATGCTGAGGCTTACTTTCTGTGCTAGTCACCAAGTTTCTTTTCTGTGAGGAACATCTCCATGTTCATCTGCCTTGCAGAGTAGAGGTAACTGACAGGTTTAGAGCCCAATAACTAAAGAATCTTCTTGGCCCAAAATGTCCACTCTCTTTTGAGTATTTTTTCCTAGTCATTTTATCTCCATCCTCCAACGGTGGCGATTTTACGCTTTTTAATTTCTGAAGGAGACCTGCTGAGGGTAGCAGTCATCCACTCTTCTTCAGGAACAGCTCCCACAGCTGGCGGAGAGGTGGGGGTAACAGCATGGCTGTGGGACAGTGCGCCGCCCTCTCCCTATGTACATACATGTTTCAGCCAGAGTTTATTGAACCACCTGATCCAAGCTAAGAAGATCAGATTCTTTTCCCCAGGACTTTGAAATGCGGACCACTGAGGCCCAGAGACTATCACTGGAACTGCATTACACTAATGGCAGGATCCTGGAGACGCAGAGTTGTCCCCACAATTTCTTCCCTTTATATCCTGTGAATTTTCCCATTTAATTAATTAACTAATTAATTAACTTGAGGCAGAGAGTCTCATTCTGTCACCCAGGCTGGAGTGCCATGCTGTGATCTTGGATCACTGCAACCTCCACATCTCAGGCTCAAGTGATCCTCACACCTCAGCCGCCTGAGTAACTGGGACTACAGATATGTGCCACCATGCCCGGATAATTCTTTTTTTTTTTTTTTGAGACGGAGTTTCACTCGTTACCCAGGATGGAGTGCAATGGCGTGATCTCGGCTCACCAAAACCTCTGCCTCCAGGGTTCAAGCAATTCTCCTGCCTCAGCCTCCTGAGCAGCTGGGACCACAGGCGCGTGACACCATGCCCAGCCAATTTTTGTATTTTTAGTACAGACAGGGGTTCACCACGTTGATCAGGATGGTCTCGATCTCTTGACCTTGTGATCCACCTGCTTCGGGTCCTGGGATTATAGGTGTGAGCCACCATGCCTGGCTGCCAGGATAACTTTTGTATTAGTTTTTTTTTTTGACAGAGTTTTGCTCTTATTGCCCAGGCTGGAGTGCAATGGCACTATCTCAGCTCACCACAACCTTCAACCCCTCTGGGGTTCAAGTGATTCTCCTGCCTCAGCCTCTCAAGTAGCTGGGATTACAGGCATGCGACACCATTCCTGGCTAATTTTGTATTTTTGGGAGAGATGGGGTTTCTTCATGTTGATCAGGCTGGTCTTGAACTCCAACCTCAGGTGATCCACCCACCTTGGCCTCCCAAAGTGCTGGAATTTCAGACGTGAGCCACAGCGCCCAGGTTTTACCATGTTGCCTAGGCTGGTTGCGACTCCTAAGCTGAAGAGCTCTGCCCACCTCAGCCTTCTAAAGTGCTGGGATTACAGGTGTTAGCCACCGTGCCCGGCCAACTTTCCCTTTTTTAAGTTAATCAGTTGATGTCTGTTATATGCAACCTGAGACATTTTACTCAACTGATAATTTCACCAAAAAGGTAGAATAGAATCATTCTGTTACTGGAGACTGGAAACCTATTCCCAAGAGCTTTGAGAGTGGGGAAGGTAATTCAGTTTACTTGACCAAGCAGTTTCCTGTATTGAGAAGCCGTACCCAGACGTCCTCTTTCCTCTTCCTGAACACAGGTCCGGCCACTTACTTTCCCTTTGGCCAATCTTAAGCCTTTCCTCTACCTCAAGATTTTTTTTTTTTGAGACGGAGTCTTGCTCTGTCACCCAGGCTGGAGTGCAGTGGCATAATCTTGTTTCACTGCAACCTCTGCTTCCTGGGTTCGAGTGATTCTCCTGCATCAGCCTTCCGAGTAGCTGGGATAACAGGTCCCACCAAACCTGGTTACTTTTTGTACTTTTAATAGAGATGGGTTTTGCCATGTTGGCCAGGTTGGTAATCCATCTGCCTCGGCCTCCCAAAGTGCTGGTGTTACAGGAAAGGGGTCCCAATCCAAACCCCAAGAGAGGATTCATGGATCTCGCACAAGAAAGAATTCAGTGCGAGCCCACAAAGTGAAAGTACGTTTATTAAGAAAGGAAAGGAATAAAAATGGCTACTCCATAGACAAAGCAGCCCCGAGTGCTGCTGGTTGCCCATTTTTACGGTTATTGATGGTATGCTAAATGAGGGGTAGATTATGCATGCCTCTCATTTTAGACCATATAGGGTAGCGTCCTGTCGATGCCATGGCATCTGTAAACCGTCCTGGTGCTAGTGGGAATGTAACAGTGAAGATGACCGGAGGTCACTCTTGTTGCCATCTTGTTTTTGGTGGGTTTCGGCCAGCTTCTTTACTGCAACCTGTTTTATCAGCGAGGTCTTTATGACCTTTATCTTATGTCAACCTTCTGTCTCATCCTGTGACTCGGAATGCCTTAACTGCCTGGGAATTCAGCCCCGTAGGTGTTAGCCTTATTTTACTCAGCTCCTAGTCAAGATGGAGTTGCTCTGGTTTACATGCCTCTGACAGTGGGTCATGGGTATGAGCCACTGCACCTGGCCTACCTCAAGATTTTTGTTGGCTTGTTATACATATGCTGTTTTTTTTTTTGTTTATGCTGTTTTCGCTCTTGTTACCCAGGCTGGAGTGCAATGGTGCGGTCTCGGCTCACCACAACCTCCGCCTCCTGGGTTCAGGCAATTCTCCTGCCTCAGCCTCCTGAGTAGCTGGGATTACAGGCACGTGCCACCATGCCCAGCGAATTTTTTGTATTTTTAGTAGAGACAGGGTTTCACTATGTTGACCAGGATGGTCTCGATCTCTTTGACCTCGTGATCCACCTGCCTTGGCCTCCCAAAGTGCTGGGATTACAGGCGTGAGCCACCGCGCCCGGCCTACATATGCTGTTATTTCCATTCAAATTCTATGATCCTCCTCCCTTTTCCTAATGCCTAAAGCCTATGTCTTTTGTGTTATTTTTACATTATTCAAAAAATTTTCTGACAAATTTGTTTTTGGAATACATCCTGTATGTTCACAAGCATTACTACAGAGGGCAGACCTTCCTGAGACTGGTGATGTGTAATGTCAAAAGTTTAAAATCCGGATCTCGGCTGGGTGTGGTGGCTCACAACTGTAATCCTAGCACTTTGGGAGGCTGTGCTGGTGGATTGTCTGAGCTCACGAGTTTGAGACCAACCTGGGGAACACTGTGAAACCCCATCTCTACTAAAAATACAAAAAATTAGCCGGGCGTGGCAGCATGCACCTGTAATCCCAGCTACTCGGGAGGCTGAGACAGGAGAAACACTTGAACGTGGGAGGTGCAGGTTGCAGTGAGCCTAGATCGTACCACTGCACTCCAACCTGAGCAACAGGGTGAGACTCCATCTTGATAATAATAATAAAAATAATCAAATCAAATCAAATCTGGATCTCATATATCAGAACTTCCTCAGAAGTTATTCTTACGTTTCATTATGAACATGATAAACAGACTTTGAAAGCGAGAAGCTTTTCGCCTCTTGAAAGCCCTTTAACACACAGGGTCCCTTTAACCTTGAAGACAATAAAGTTAAAATGTAATGGGCATAAAAAGGAAAAGGTCCACACAATGGCAGAACCGCACAGGTGGTAGAGTCTACGCTGTTTACTCCTGCATACAATGGAAAAGCTGAAAAGCTTTCTGTTACAGGTTGAACTGTGTTCCCAAATTCACTTGAAATGAAGTCAGTTAGGATGGGCCCTAATGCAGCCTGATTGGTGCGCGTATAAAAAGGGGAAATTTGGACATAGAGACGTGTTGGCGTCCGGCACGTCTGCCAGGGGGCTACCGACCTGCGGGAGTCCCCGAGACCGCCAACGTAGATGTCTCGTTCAACCTGAGGGAGAGAGTGCGCGGAAGTGAAAGAATATAGGAAAGCGGAGTCTGGAGGGCTGGCTTAGGCTATGTCCAAGCAGCAATTCTATTTTTGCAATATGTTCCATTATATACTTTTCTGAAGTTAATGTTGTGTACGCCAGATCAACATACTTAAGTTACAGTAAGCAAGTTACGCCCACTAAGTTACACCCAGTAAGTAAATTAAGCCCAGTAAGTCAGTTATGCCCAGTAAGTTACGGTTATGCCCAGTAAGTTATGGTAAGTTACGCCCAGTAAGTACTTAACAATTGTAAATACTTAACACCCAGTAAGTTACACTAAGTAAGTAACCAAGTGTAAATACTTAAGTTAATATTTTACAATGAAGGTAACAAGGGTCCAAAATGAACACAATCAAGCAATAAACCATAAGGAACAGAAAGTGGACACATTGCCTCCCAAGTCCTCATATCCATAAAGTAATGTCTGTTAATTATTTTGAATAGCTTAGTCCCTCTCTCGGTTCCTGCTTTCCCTCAGCTCGACTCCCCCAACCGGGGATCTGTGTCCGGGCTCAAGCTCACCGTATGGCAAGGACCATTTCCTAGGGGCCTCACATGGGAGCGATCCCCACAGATCCCTCAGAGACGTGCATAGAAGAAAGATGTGCAGAGACAGAGGGAGATTAGCCTAATCAAAAAGTTCAAATTGAAGAAATGGAAAACTGGCTCTAACGACCAAGTTAATTTAGCATAAAAACATAATTGATAGTGAAGGTATAAAGTGTAAAACCATCATCTAAACCTCTCTGTCATTCACAGCTTCCTTGCTTCAGAATTGCAATGGAAGAAGATTTTCCTACTGGGTAGAATTTCACTGACATGGTATAAAATTTGGGTCTGGGGAAATGTTTTTGTGGCCTCCTTAAACCAGCTGTTGTCATTTTATTGTTTGTGAGTTAATTAGAACAAAGATTTTCTTTAAAACAAAGATATAACAACTAGCAGACCAAAATGTCTTTTATAAATAATAAACTTAACAGAATCACTCACTTCTATGAAACCCAAAATGAAAATACTCCTTTAGATCAAGAAGAGGAACTATAAGCTTTATGTTTATCATGAATGAATGAACAAACTGTGGAAGTTAGATTTACTACTTTAGATTTACTATTTACTATAGTTGGTGTTTCAGACAACATACTGCTTATGCTTACCACCAACTAGAATTCTTATTCTGTAAAACCAGTCTTTTTTTTTTTTTTAACATGTTGGTGGTGACAAAAACCCCAGTCTTTTGATAGTTTTCTAGTCAATGTATTATCTGCTTTATAAATATAATTTCTTCTTCTTCTTCCTTTTTTTTTTGTTGTTTTTTGAGACAGAGTATTGCTGTCACCCAGGCTGGAGTGCAGTGGTGTGATCTCTGCTCACTGCAACCTCCACCTCCTGGGTTCAAGGGATTTTCCTGCTTCAGCCTCCCGGGTAGCTGGGATTACAGGCGTGAACCACCACGCTGGCTAATTTTTGTATTTTTAGTAGAGACAGAGTTTCACCAAGTTGGCCAGGCTGATCTCGAACTTCCCCGTGAGAATGATACTCCCATGAAAAGTTCAGAAATGGGAAAACAGCCTTGTGCTAATATCTGTGGTAGTTGTAAACAAAAGCTCTGACTGGACTCCAGTGTGCCCAAACGTACTATGTTCACAGGGCACTCGTCTGATAATTTTTTTTTCAGTCTCGCTCTGTTGCCTAGGCTGGAGTGCAGTGGCCAGATCTCGGCTCACTGCAACTCCACCTCCCGGGTTCAAGCGATTCTCCTGCCTCCGCCTCCCGAGTAGCTGGGATTACAGGCGTCAGTCACCACGTCCAGTTAATTTTTATATTTTTAGCAGAGACATTTCTTCATGTTGGTCAGACTGGTCTCGAACTCCTGACCTCAGGGGCTCCACCGGCCTCGGGCTCCCAAGGTGCTGGGATTACAGACGTGAGCCACCGTGCCCGGCCGAGAATTTTATTCAATAAGGAAAGGCTAAACGTAATTATTACCAAGTTTTTTCTGCTCCTTTAACTTGCAACAGCAGTTGTAATTTCAGTGCCTAGAACAGCAGTAACTGGCACGTAGTAGGCGCTCCGTGAACAGCAGCAGGATTAAGCGATCGCGGTCTCCCTGAACCATTGCGATTGCACTACGACATAGTCAAAACACAAAAAATCAAAATATAAAAGTTCCTAGTACGAGTCCGTGGAGCCAGAGCTTCACACAAATACATGTCGTGCACTACACATTAATACATATATGAAAATTCAGTATTTTGTCCTTCCGGTGTTAACGACTAATGGAGGCAAATCTCTCCGCCTTTGGTTAAGGGCTAAAACTTTGCATTTTAAGGAAGTTCCGAGCGCAGGATCGGAGGGGCGGGTCAAAGAAAACAGACCTCCCAGCCTGCGCCGTCCTCTAGTGCACGCTACCGCTGACCGCGCAGACGCAGGAAGGGGCGGGGCGGAGGGGAGAGGCCATTCGCGGGATTCTGAAGGCCCCGCCCCTCGTCTGCGTCGGGTGGTCACGTGGTTGTCCCGAGCGGGCGAGCGAAGTTAGAAGGTCTATACTGCAGCGAGCGTCGGACACTCCAGCGACCGTGGGGATCAGCGTTGGTGAGCTGCGGCCTTTTTCGAGGTGCCGCTGCCACAGCCACCTGCGTCCGTTACGAGGATTGAGCGTCTCCACCCCGTCAGTGTGAAAGAGGTGGCAGGAGGTGGGTACGCAGGGGCGCAAAGCGTACGGCCCCTAGAAGCCTCGTTTTCGCTCCTGCCAGCAGCTGAAGCCTCCTCTGACAGCTGCGGGGCCACGGCAGGGGTAAGGGCCGAGGGGTTGTTGAACGGTCGCGGCAGCCGGGGCGGGGTAGGGAGGCGACTCTAGGGACTGCCTCATTGGCTGGGTCGGTTTTGGCGCGCTCTCACTTCCGCGCTCCCGATTGGTTGGCGGGCGTCGTTCCCGAGGCGCGCGCCGCGATTGGTAGGCTCGGGCGCGCGGGACCGCACCGCCCGCCCCCTCGCCCGGCGCTCCGGGACTAGCTGGCTGGGTCCGGGCTTAGGGACTCAGCCTGGGCGCGCGTGGCTGTGGGGATGAGGCGGAACATCCCGTCCTCTTGGCAGTTAAGTGGCCGGTCCTGATCTGAGGGGTCTGTAAATCTGGCTCACGGGAAAAGGTCGCTGAGTCCTGCGTCTCCCATTCAGCGGATACCGGCGTTGTTGATAACGGGTTTCGCACGGACCCTGTCCTGCGCCAGGGTTTTAAGGTAGCTGTTAAAGGGACTGGAGAGTGACAGGCAAGTACGGGGCGGGAAAGCTGTCAAGGGTTAGGCTGACTCGGTGAGTGGTTCTCAGCTTCTTTCATGCTCACGTACGTTTGACATCGCAGCCGTGTAACCGAGTGAGGCGCAGATCGCGGCAGGATTTCTCGTCTCCGTTCTTATCGGCTGCACGTTTCTGAGCAGGGCGGCTCACGGCTCACTCAGTAATCCCGAGATCCCCGCCCGGGGCCCGCGCCCCGCAGCTGGAAGAACGTTGCCCGGGGTCTGTTTACTGGGGCCCAAACAACATTTTCTTAACATGAAATAAAGTGGAAAATGGCAGGATGCCCCTACAAAGTAGATGGTTTGGTTTCCTAAGCTGTTTTGTTGTTGTTGTTGTTTGTTTCTTTTTTTTTTTTTTTTTTTTTTTTTGCTTTGTTTGTTTTTGACACGGGATCTCGCCCTGTCATCCTGGCTGGGGTGCAGCGGTGGGATCCCGGCTCACTGCAACCTCCGCCTCCCGGGTTCCAGCGATTCCCCTGCGTTAGCCTCCCGAGTAGCTGGGACTGCAGGCACACACCGACACGTGGCTAACTTTTGTGTTTGTAGCAGAGGCGGAGTTTCACTCTGTTGGCTAGGCTGGTTTCGAACTCCTGTCCTCAGGTGATGCGCCCGCCCCGGCCTCCCGAGGTGCTGGGATTACAGATGGGAGCCACGACGCCCGGCCTTTTCCTAAGCTGTTTTGTTTGCCCATGTGTGTGCGTGCGCCAGGGCACCACGTAAAGTGCGCTAATGTTAGAAAAGCCACTGCACTGAGTAAAGGCATGGCCACAGCAATTCGGGAGCTCCGTTGGCGGGGCCCGGGGGCCGTGGGCCGTGGAGGAGCGGCTCCCATGCTGAGTTTGTTGGGAGTTTGCTCCGGTTAACCACATTACATATATCCCTTTTATCGTTTTCCTTCTTCATTGCTTGCTAGTCCTTCAGTTCATGGTGGTGGTTAAACATGACCTACGAATGTAAATGGCGACCTCATCTGCCCACATATGAAGGCGGTATTAAGTTACTGTCGGAGCCGAGGCTGTTCCATCTGCCTTCAAAGCAGGAGAGTTAAGATGCTGCTCTGTCGGGGTGGACCTCGGCACACCCAAATATCCGTGTTTTGTTTGTTTGTTGTTTTTTGCTATTTCTTGTTACTATTTCTCAGATCTTTGGGAGCCCTGTATTTAATCTAGGACATGTTTAAAATTTTAAACCGATTTTTAACATTTGTTTAAAATACATGAGTTTCATTTTTTTCAGACATTATGTGCGTATGTAGATGTAAAATTAGATATCGAGAGTGATTAACGTTAGTCACCTTAGTCATCGACAGGGCTGAGTTTGGATTAAGTGAGAAAAAACAATAGTTCTACTGTACAGTAGTATTAGTTTTATGATTGTATTTTAAACCTAGACTCCACCTTCAGCGTTGCAAACCATATTGTTTTTTAATTACTAGTATTCTGTGCTTCACCATCTACACTATGAATCCCAATATGAAGCAGAAACAGGAAGAAATCAAAGAGAACATAAAGGTATGTGATTGAATAACTGACTTTTTTGTAGAAAGCATGTGGTTAAAAGTATTTTGATATCATTTAGCCAAATTTCGCCTGGCTGTAATTTCTGGAAGCCTTCAGATAGAGGACGAGTAACAATAGAGAAGGTTTTTAAAAAATTAATTATGGTTGAATATTAAGTCTGACTCAAAAATATGGGATGTCTCTTATTTTGGTCTTTCAACAGTATTTTGTAGTTTTCAGAGCATGAATTTTACACTGTGTATGTTAAATTTTTTCCTGAGTATTCTTTTTGAGGTTGAGTATAATTGTTTCTTTAATTTCATTCTCATTTGATCATTGCTACTGTATAGAAAAATAATTGACTTTTGTATCTTGATTTTGTGTCCTGAAACCTTACTGAAGTTGTTTATTAGTTCTCATTGTCTTTTAGTAGATTCTTCCGGATTTTCTTTTCTTTTGTATCATCTCTGAAGATTCCAAAAGTATCTTTAGGAATTTCTGTGTATAAGATTATTACTGCTTTGTTTCTGCGCTGTATTTCATGAAATGATTTTATTAAAATTCATTGCGTGTATCTTCAGAATTAAGAGTCTTTGACTACACACAAAATATTGCACATTTTTCGAGAGTATACCATAGTCATTACCATCCAGCCTATTGGATTTGCAATACTATTAGAATCCCTGTATGTACTCTTACTGGAAATCTTATTCCAAGTATTTATTCTTGTGGCAACAGGACAGAATTTCTTTAGTTTTGAGTAATTTTGACTAGGTTCATATGTATGGTTCTAAATGAATTTACAATTTAGCTAGGACCTTCCACACAACTTAAACTGTATGAATACCCTGGGAATTGGACCATACCTTCAGGAAAACTATCCATTTGTGGGTTTAAATTAAATAAAGAGCCAGATGCCCATGATAGCTCAAGCCTGTGATCCCAGCTGCTAGGGAGACTGAAGTAGGAGGATTGAGCTCAGAAGTTTGAGAGCAGCCTGGGCAACAAAGGGAGGCCTTGTTTCTAAAAAACCATAATTAGCTGGGTGTGGTGGTGCCCACTTGTAGTTCCGGCTACTTGGGAGGCTGAGGTGGGAGGAATTGCCTAAGCTTAGTAGTTAGGATTGCTTCACTGTATTCCAGCCTGGGTGACAGAGTAAGACCCGTATCTGGAAAAAAAAAATTAATATTAAACTAAATTGAGTACTTAAAAGCCGTTGATAAGTATGATCTTTCGATGGGTTATTTATTTGCCTTGCTTTTCTTAGGACTCTTAACGTTATTTTTCTTGAATACTAGTTCACATTGACAGTTTGTAAATTTGATTCCATTAGCTTCCGTTTAGGGTGATGACATCTTCCCACTGTGCTTTGGGTGTGATTATTTACAGTTTTTGTTATGAAGTTTTTGAAATATTTAGAAGTAGAGTCGGTATTACAGTAATTTCCTTCCCCAGCTTCAGCAGGTACCACTATATGGCCAAATCTGGGGTCATCTATGTTCTTATTCACTCCACCTTTCCTTCAATGCATTATTTTCAAGCAAATCACAGCCAAATAATTTATATACTTCCAGCAGATTACATTTTTAAAAAAGTCTTGTGTTTACTAGCTACAATAAAACTCTTGAATATAAAGGTAGTAGGTTCTGTTTGATTTTGGTTCTGCCTCCAAAACTGAGACCTTGGGTGGGTTAGTTAGCATTTCAGCCTCAGGTTACTCATCTGTAAATTGAGGAACCAGACTAGAACTAGATCTTTGCAAGTTGTATGCAAAATTCTGTGTGAATGTGCTTTTATGTGAATTTTTAAGGGGGAGAGGATTCACAGAATATTAGATAGATTTCCAAAAAGATTAAGACCCATTAATATACAGGAAACTTACTGGCTCTAAGAGTCAATTATTCTGGCCGGGCACGGTGGCTCATGCCTGTAATCCCAGCACTTTGGGAGGCTGAAGCAGACTGATCACGAGGTCAGGAGATCAAGACCATCCTGGTCAACATGGTGAAACCCTGTCTCTACTAAAAATTCAAAAAATTAGCTGGGCACGGTGGCGGGTGCCTGTAATCCCAGCTACTCGGGAGGCTGAGGCAGGAGAATTGCCTGAACCCAGGAGGCGGAGGTTGCGGTGAGCCGAGATTGCGCCATTGCACTCCAGCCTGGGTAACAAGAGTGAAACTCCGTCAAAAAAAAAAAAAAGAGTCTCTTATTCTGATGCATACTCTATATACAGAAAATAATAATAGTAATATTACATTGTTTTAGGCCAAAGTCTATAAAGCTTATATAAATAAAAGTTAAATCTTAGAAATGGTCTTTTTTTTGTGTGACAGTAACGTAGCTGGCTTCTTTGACCATTATTAACAGCAAGCATTTAAGTAAATTAACACCTCGTATTACTAAGGTTCCAACGTTACATTGTCTTTTATTTGTCTGGAGACTGTTGACTAATATATAATCTAAATTATATCTGAAATGTTGGTGTAATTGTTCTCACAGTAGCTGGCATTTGTCCTTCAGTTAAATGATGAGATAATAATCAGCAGTAGAAACTTTACCGTGGGAAAGGTGAACTCTTGTCATGTGAAGTACTGTGTGCTATCAGTAACTTTCTCACGCTGGGATGGTATCATGTTCTTGCTAACCTTGTTTGAGTATTCACCATTGTTTGCTATCCCATGGGGGCAGTGTAACTAATGATATTTTGCAAAAATAAGAGAGAGCTTTCAGATCATGAAATATAAAGGAAGTTATTTACATATTACAAGGAAGGCAGTATTTTCACCAAAACCATACTTTGGGCATTTTAGAGTGAGTATTTTAGTATGCCTCGGGCACTGACATTTTAGTCACCTTCTAATGAATGTGCTTGAAGCAGAACTGCTTCTACTATCAGGTAATGGTTGAGGGGGGATGTCTATTACACATGTACTTTGTTTTGTGTACAGTATATTCCGGAAAATTATGTTCTTTTGGTGAGTACCTTTAAGCATCTGGGGGATAGTCATGACTTAAGGAGGTCTGAGATAAATCTTTTTGACTAGGGGGAGACATATTTTGCAGTGTAAATGATTTTTTCTTCCAGTTTACCTGTTTTGTGAGTTCATACGATAAATGTTACAATGTTTGGTTTTATAAAAGAGTACCTGTAAGTTTTTAGTTTCTGTGTGGACGATTTTTCAGAGAGCTGAGGAATTTTGTTAGTGTGTTTTAACTAGATATGATTAACAAAATGACCATAGCAAGAGCATACATTGGAGTGAGAGGAGTTACTTGTACTTGTGTCTAGTTTGGGTAATATGATTCATTCTTAAGGATTCTTTAAACTTTATTATAATTTTTGGAAATAACAAGTTTGCCAGTTGATTAAACCAGTGTCTTGTTCATAGGTAACCTTATAAAATTATATAGCAGACCAAATGTTTGTGTTCTGTTGCTTCCCCACCCCAGATTATAGAAGGATTAAGAGTAACACTGTATAGAAACTCAGTAACCTACATAACCATATAGCAGTGAAGTAACTAAATAACCATATTGCAACTCAGTAACCAGATAATGAACTATCTTAACTTTCAGAATTGTTCTGTCCCAAGAAGAACTCTGAAGATGATTCAGCCTTCAGCATCTGGATCTCTTGTTGGAAGAGAAAATGAGGTATGTGCTATATGGCTAAAATGGGGTACTGGTGATACAATGTCTGCATAAAAACATTACTATTTTGTTGGTCAGAAACACATAAATTGTTGAAATTTGGAAATAACAATTATATATTCCCCAAATAAGTGATTTTTTTTTTTTTAATTGTTCAATTTAAGAAGTTCACTGGGTGCAGTGTGGTGGCTCATGCCTATAACCCAAGCACTCTGGGAGGCTGAGGAGGGCAGATCATGTGAGGTCAGGAGTTTGAGACCAACCTGTCCAACATGGTGAATCCCTGCCTCTACTAAAAATACAAAATTAGCCAGGGCATGGTGGTGTGTGCCTGTAATCCCAGCTACTTGGGAGGCTGAGACAGGAGAATCACTTGAACCCAGGAGGCAGAGGTTGCAGTGAGCGGAGATTGCACCACTGCACTCCACCCTGCAGCCTGGGCAACAAAGCAAGACTCTGTCTCAAAAAAAAAAAATTGAATTGCAATGAATGCCTGTAGTACTGGAATGATGAAGTAAATTATGAATGCTTTTATAGAAGTAATGTGTGATATTTTTAGAATAAAGTATTAGATTCTTTTACCCACGTATGTAAACAATGACATCATGGATAAGCATTTTTAGACTTTGGCAGAATGAAAATGTTACCTTTCTGTGATACTGAATTTAAATACAATATTTAAACACAAAAATAACTTTAGGCCAGCCATGGTGGCTGATGCCTATAATCCCAGCACTTTGGGAGGTTGTGGTGGGTTGATCGCTTGAGCTCAGGAGTTTGAGACTAGTCTGGGCAACATGGGAAAACCCCATTTTACATAAAATGCAAAAATTAGACAGGTGTGGTGGCATACGCCTATAGTCCCAGCTACTTGGGGGTCTGAAGCAGGAGAATTGCCTTAGCCTAGGAAGTCGAGGCTGCAGTGAGCCACTTTTGTACCACTGAGCAACAGTCTGTGTAACAAAGTGAGGCCCTGTCTCAAAATAATAATAGTAATAATTTTATGGCTGGGTACGGTGGCTCACAGCTGTAATTTCAACACTTTGGGAGGCTGAGGTCGGTGGATCACTTGAGGTCAGGAATTCAAGACCAGCCTGGCCAACATGGTGAAATGCCATGTCTACTAAGCACAAAAAAATTAGCTGGGCTTGGTGGCACACACCTGTAATCTCAGCTACTAGGGAGGCTGAGGCAGGAGAATCACTTACATCTGGGAGGTGGAGGTTGCAGTGAGCCGAGATCACACCACTGCACTCCAGCATGGGTGACAGAGTGAGACTGTGTTTCAATAAGAATAAAAATTAAAAATTTTTTTAAATAATAAATAAATAATTTCAGCTAAGCTGTAGACCATAGTCTAATCCAAAGTAGTTGTTGCAAATAAAATTCCTAAAATGTTAGTATGCATTTTGGTAGAATTTTTAATTGTATAACTTTTTTAAAGATTCAGAGATAACAAAAAAGATTTGCATTTTCTTTTTTAAATACATAAATGAAAAACCACCTAATTTCTCGCTAATTAAATCAAAGTAAATACAGTTAAGTGTTTTCGTTATAGTTGTCCACAGGCTTGTCCAAAAGGAAACATCGGAATGATCAGGTAACATCTGCAACTTCCAGCCCTGGGGTTATTGTCCCAGAATCTAGTGAAAATAAAAATCTTGGAGGAGTCACCCAGGAGGCATATGATCTTATGATTAAAGGTATGAAAAAATAGATAACTTTTGTCTTAAAGTTTTAAATTATGATATAAGGAAAAATTTGTTAATACTATTATGAATTCTGCTGATTACCTTATCTAGTGATACTGTTCGATATCAACATACTTGTATGTGTTCAATGATTTAGAATTTTTTATGATTGTAAATATAATGACACTGCACATGTTTTTGTGTGTGACGATTTGTTTGACAAGATGCATGTGGGGTTGAAATGTTAAGGAAAAGGAGACCTGGTGTAGTGGCTCATGCAGGGAATCCCAGCACGCTGTGAGGCTGAAGCAGGGGGTTGGCTTGAGTCTAGAAGTTTGAGGCTAGCTTGGGCAATAATACAGTGAGATGCTATCTGTAAAAGCATTAGCTGAGCATGGTGGTTTGTGCTTGTATTCTTAGCTACTCAGGAGGCTCATGTGAGCCTAGGAGTTGGCTGCCACATGAGCTATGATAGCGCCACTGCATTCCAGCCTGGGTGACAGGTCACGATCCATTCTTTGAAGAAAAAAAAAGTTGGGGGGAAAGGATAGTTATTAATATGACAGCTCTGATATTGGATTGCCTTGGTTTATAAGACTTGGAAATAGGCTTTTGAGAAGAAAAATGTTTAGAGAATGAGTTTGAGGTATGAAAGGGATTTGAATATTCCAGGAGAGTGTGGCATAAAGAAACCAATAAAAATACAGATGAATAGGCTGGAAAAGTGGCTCATGCCTGTAATCCTAGCACTTTGGGAGGCCAAGGCAGGTGGATCATGAGGTCAAGAGATTGAGACCATCTTGGCCAACATGGTAGAACCCCGTCTCTACTAAAAAATACACAAATTAGCTGGGTGTGGTGGTGCACATTTGTATTCCCAGCTGCTCAGGAGGCTGAGGCAGGAGAATTGATTGAACCCTCGAGGCAGAGGTTGCGGTGAGCTGAGATCAGCCACTGCCCTCCAGCCTGGTGCCTGGCGACACAGTGAGACTCTTGTCTAAAAAAAAAAAAAGCCTGTAGATTAAAGAGCAGGATTTGTGACACTTATATCTTGATTAGGTTAAAATTAAATCATGGATTGGTTAAAATAAACTGCTAAAGTTAAATATCAGAACAAATAACGATGTATCATAGTGCTAATATAACCACAGGTGAAAAACATTATCCATGTAACCCTCAATGGGATATATGGTAAGAATTGAAAGAACTGCAAAGAAATCCCAAACTTTGTTACATTTGTTGTTTGAACTTTATTGTATTTGTTGGTAGTGGTATTGGTGTAATGTTGAAAAAAAAAAAGTTACATTTTAGGATTGAACAAGTGAGTAACATGTTGGTGCTGTTGGGAGCCAGGTTCATAATGTGGTAAATGGAAGTACAAATATGGAATGGGAGAAGGAAAGGAAGAATTATGTTGTTACATTGCAATTGGGAATATCAGTATAAACTCATGATTTTTTACAGAGTATTAAATTTCTTAGCACTGCCCCTAAATAAATAGAAACAAACTACACTTCTGTAGCAGGGAGCACACCCTGTATCCAGTTCTTGGTTTGTAAACACAATTTTTCACTAAAGTTCCTTGGAGAAATTGCTGCCTCCAGGTCAGGGGCAGGGAAACTTTAGGTGATCATGGATTATCTTGTGACAGAAAATAAGGAAGTACACAAAAATGGGTGGACATGTTGAAAGAACACACATCATCTTGGAAGGATTCTCATGGACTACAGTTGAAAAAATTTGAGCATCAAAATGAATAATGACAAGAATGGATTATAATACATTGAGGAAAAAAGGACATATGAGTCCATACTGATAAATTTTCTTTTAAATTGGGGTAGGAAAAGTTTTTATTTGCAGAATAATGCTAACTACTACACGTAGAAGGAATTTCGTAAGTGAAAAATTGGTTTTCCATCCACCGTAGAAGTAATAGATAGAAGCCAGAAATGTCAATCATCAGTGTAATTAAACTTAAATTAAAAAGTTGTTGGAGGACAGGATATTGACATGGTCTCAAATATTTTACTCTACAGATCATTAGTTAATTACTAAAGGAAAAAGTTATCTTTATAAGGCAGAAATCTGGTGGATAGCATCTTAACCAAATGATCAAATTTAATATCTCCAGTATCATGACAAGTTGGTGTGTGCTTCCTGATGGTACACTGAGGTTACAACATACTTATATGGTATTCCTGCCAAAAATGTTTAGTTTGAATCTGATCATGGAGACAAATAAAAAATTAAGGACAGGTACAGAATAAGTGATGTGTACTTTGTGAAAATGTCAACATTAAATACAAAGACACAACCTCACAAAAAAATGTGTTGCAAAAATCTTTAATAATCTACTTGGAAGATATATACGTATTGTACTTTTGTTGTAATTCTTCTGAAGGATTGAAATCTTTGAAATGTTGGGGAAAATAGAATAATATTGATTTTATTTTCTAATTTAATCTTTTGAAAATGAATGTTACTAAACAATATGGGGGGTACTAAGATTGGAAATTTTTTTGAAACAAGAGAAATTATGGGGTTTTGACAGTAATGATTTTTTAAAAGTTATATGTAAAACATTATTTTAGAAAATCCGTCTTCTCAATATTGGAAAGAAGCGGCAGAAAAACGGAGGAAGGCGCTGTATGAAGCACTTAAGGAAAATGAAAAAGTATGTATTGAGTATAATTCGTATCTTTTTTTAAATTCCAGGATTGTTTTACTCTTGCCGCTTAGCATATTAGAGCAACATGAACTAGCTTTAATACTGGCTTAAGAAAAGCTTAAATAAAAAGGCAGCTTCTTGATGGAATTATCACACAAAATGAATCCTGTTGAGAGTCAGATCTATGCTGCACGTCCTCCACGTTATATACTTGTAGGCCTGCAATTTGATTTATAACATAACAAATCTAGAATACTGAACTTTATTTATGTAATATAGCTTCATAAAGAAATTGAACAAAAGGACAAGGAAATCGCCCGCCTGAAAAAGGAGAATAAAGAGTTGGCAGAAGTAGCAGAACATGTACAGTATATGGCAGAGCTAATAGAGGTAGGTAATGTAACAGTTACCTGGTTCACATTTACGTGTTTTTCTGTAAAACTGAGCTAGTATAGTGTGATCACTTTGAAGGGTTGGGGCTCTGGAATCAGATTTCCTGGATTTGAGACTTAATTTTCTTCCTGGCACCATAAGTTTGGTGGGTAGAGTGGGTTTATCCTGTCAGGGCTTCATTTTCCTCATCTAGAAAGTGAGAGTAATGGTGACTACTTTATAGGCTTGTTAGGAGAATTAAATGAGCTGTAATAGATGGACAGTTGCAAGGAGTATTTGCAGAGAATAGAAGTTCATTAAAAGCAATTAGCTTATGCCTGGAAAATAGAGAAAATTATTTAATAGTTGACATATTTTTAGGTAGTTTTAATGCCAGCTTGACAGGGCTGTTGTTTATAAAATTGCTAATTTGTCCACTAAATAAGTTTGGTGGTTTTATCTGACTAAAGAATTTTGTAAGTGGCTAATGTGTTTGTAAGAATTAGCCTGATGAGTGTTGTTTTACCAGACTTGCCCTTAAAAAGGTTTTAAGATTTATTTATTCACGTTTGCAAAAAGTTTGTCTTGCTGATAGGAAGAAAGTATTTCAAATCAAAACTTTTCACATAGCTGAATTGTTACCTTACATTTGAGATCCGTGATAGAATTCATGTTTGAAATTTTCATTTCTAAATAGTGTAGTAGCTCTCCTAACTGCCTTAAAAGTATTGGTCTACAGCTGACTGGAAATGTAGAACACTTAGTTGTCCCTGCAGCTGCTTGGGGAAGTAACTATTTTAAATTATACTCTGAAATCATTTCAGTGCTTTAAAAAAAAAAAGGCAAATTATTAAACACTTGGACTTTGCTGACTGTGGTCTAGCATGGGAGAGACTTTGATATGGCACTGTTAATAAATGGATTTATTGAGGGGCAAGATGAAAAAAATCTCATTACAGCTATAGCAGTATGCTGATCAACTTGGGTTTTAACATTTTTACAATAAATGATATTGGTTTATTCTTTAAAAGAGACTGAATGGTGAACCTCTGGATAACTTGGAATCACTGGATAGTCAGGAATTTGATTCTGAAGAAGAAACTGGTGAGGATTCTGAAGTGGAAGAATCAGAAATTGGCACTTGTGCTGAAGGAATTGTATCTTCCTCTACAGATGCAAAGCCATGTATATGAAATGCATTAATATTTGACTGTTGAGAATTTTACTGCCAAAGTTTACCTCCACTAGTTCTTTGTAGCAGAGTACATGACTACCTAATGCCAACTCAGGAATCAAGCTTCCTTTTTTGAATCCTGGGACCCTATTGTATTAAAGTACAAATACTATGTATTTTTAATCTACGATGCTTTATGTAAATAGGATTTTCTCAGTTGTCAGACATGACTTATGCATATGACTAAATAAACTTCAAACTCCTACTGAACATTGTGTACAACTTAGAATAATACAAGGAGTCTGTGTAGAAAATTTGTCTATTTCTATGTTTTTATGTTGTTCTCTTTCTATTCAATTGCTAACTACCTTGGAGGAAACAAGGAGAAAATGAACTTAACAGTATTTAGACTGAGTTAGCTGAGGCTTTAACTCCCAAACTTGGTTGTACCTCAAGCTCACTGTAGGCACTGTTGGTAATAACAAGTCGTTTTTGGAATGGAGCATGAGAATCTGTTTTCCAAAAGCTTTTCAATTGAATGTGATTAGCCAGTGTGAGGCTCAACTGGTTGGCAGGATCAGACTCTTCTTGGAAGCTTAAAATGATGGGTGATGGTGATAATCCTAGAGAAACAAAGTGGAGAATGGGGAAAAGTTCAATGGAAAAAAAAACCAGGAATAGCTGAAAATTACAGAACTTTAAGTCACTACAGGAAGCTAGTGGCAATTAACGTTAGTGTGGCTCTGTATGTTTCAAGTGTGGGTCACTAGCCTGAAGATAGAATTAAAAAGTTAACTTAATTTTAAAAAAGGAATTGAAGAATATTCTGGATTGGGGCAAGAGGAGAATCAGCTGAGAGGCCTTTGGAATGCTTAAGAAAGAAAACAGATAAATAGAATAGGATGATTTGGCAAATAGTATTTCTGTAACATGCCAGGATTTGATGGTGAGGAGCAAAAGGAGAAGGAATTGAAGGGAACTTAAAAAGTAATTGGGGAGGCCGGGCGCGGTGGCTCAAGCCTGTAATCCCAGCACTTTGGGAGGCCGAGGCGGGTGGATGATGAGGTCAAAAGATCGAGACCATCCAGGTCAACATGGTGAAACCCATCTCTATTAAAGATACAAAAAATTAGCTGGGCATGGTGGCACGTGCCTGTAATCCCAGCTACTCAGGAGGCTGAGGCAGGAGAATTGCCTGAACCCGGGAGGCAGAGGTTGCCGTGAGCCGAGATTGCGCCATTGCACTCCTGCCTGGCTAAGAAGAGCGAAACTCTGTCTCAAAAAAAAAAAAAAAACTAATGGAGCAGAGGGGTCGGAAAGGTAAAACAGTGGTGGCTGCGGTGTGGTTTGCGCTGAGATGACAACCTTAGTGCTGGATAATGGAGCTTACAACACCAAAATCGGTTACAGCCATGAAAATGTGTCGGTTATCCCTAATTGTCAGTTCCGGTCAAAAACTGTACGCCTTAAAACTTTCACTGCGAACCAGACAGATGAAATGAAAGATCCTTCTGGACTCTTCTACATCCTTCCCTTTGAAAAGGGCTTCTTCGTGAATTGTGATGTTTAAAGACAAGTTTGGGATTACCTTTTTGGAAAAGAAATGTATCAGGTGACAAATTAGTGTTGATTTTTTAGATACTAATATTATTATCACTGAACATACTTCAAGAATCAATGAATGAAATACTATTTGAAGAGTACCAGTTCCAAGCAGTATTAAAAGTAAATGCTGGGGCTCTTATTGCAGATAGATATTTCCAAGGTAATCCTTATGAATTATGCTGTATCATTGTTGATAGTGGATATTCCTTTACACATATACTTCCTTACTGTAGAAGAAAAAAGCAGTTATTCGGCAGCTACATGGTATAGATGAAACACGTGTGATTAATCAAGTGAAAAAAGATGTATACTATGTGTCTCAGGATTTTTGATAGAGACATGGCTATTGAAAAATTGAAAGGAGAAGAAAAACAGTAATGATACACTATGTCTTGCCTAAGTTTAGTACAATTAGAAAGGGCTCTGTAAGCCAAGAGAAGAGATGGTGTTGAGTGGAAAATCTAAATTTGGGGAACAAATTCTTCGTCTGGCCAGTGAGAGATTTGCTGTTCTGGAAATACTCTTTAATCCTTCCGATAGAGGCATTCAAGAAATGGGAATTCCAGAAGCTATTGTCTATTCCATTCAGAATCTACCTGAAGAAATGTAGCCAAGTTTTTTTAAGAACATTGTCTCGACAGGAGGAAACTCCCTTTTCCCAGGATTCAGGGATCGTGTTTACTCAGAAGTTTCATGTCTTACTCCGGCAGATTATGACGTTTCTGTTGTGCTGCCTGAAAACCCTGTTACTTATGTCTGGGAAGGTGGAACATCGATAATCAGAGAATGATGACTTTGCAGATACGGTGGTAATGAGAAGATTACGAAGAAAATGGACATAGCATCTGTGAAGAGAAATCTGATATTTAAGCAACATTTCTGAATGAAAATCTTGACTAGTTGTGACCATAAGGTTTAATTTCAAAGTTTCTTTTAAAAGAGGTTATGGAACTGTTACCGTTCTTCCTAAGAAAAAGCCTTGAATATATGTAAATACTTTGATCCATTGCTAATTTTCAAAGGCATCTTAGGTTATTACAGTAAACCATAACTCAGTCCACATTTTCATTTAGGAGCTAAACTACTATAACAATGCTTATGCTGTTTCCAAGGGTATGTATTATTTTTCATTAAAACCAGAAAGGATGAATTTATTTTAATTCTTCAGAGCCGAAAGCACAAATTTAACTTCCTCACTGGTATTTCCTTAGAAGGTAGTTTTGTGTGATTGTGACTACTTTGTTTAAAAATTGTCATCCTTATTTATACATTCTAAAGTTGGAAAGGCTGATCTTCTACGTATGTAATGTTTATTTTGTACCTAGAGCACATTTAAAAGAGTGGAGACCAAAGCTAATGAAGTTTTCTTGGTTAAAAAAAAAAAAAACTAATGTAGTTGCTAAAACCATAAAACTTCCAGAAGTATATATAGGAAAGTTCTTATATAAACCTTGGGTTTGGCAAAGAGTTCTCAAATAGGACACACAAAAAAGCATAAGTTTCGTAAATTTTGAAAACCTTTTGAAAGACAAATGAAAAGGCAAGGGCAGACGGGGAACATACTTGCAGAACGTAGCCAGCAAAGGATTTGTATCCGTGAAGAACTCTTAACAGCTCACTACTAGATGACTTAACTTTTTAAATGGGGAAAAGATTTGCACACTTCATCAAAGGATATATATGAGATGGCCAGTAAGTGCATGCTCAACGTTAGTTATTAAGGAAGTGCAAATTAAATGACAACCAGATACCGCTATATACCTATCAGAATTGTTTTCATTTGGAAAAATGAAAACAGCTATATCGAGTGTTAAGGATGTGAAGCATCTGAAACCCTCCCGCAGTGGTGGTGGCAGTGTCAAATGCAACAACTGCTATAGAGAAATTGAACGATTCCTTAGAAGTTACACACATGTGGGCGGGTGCAGTGGCTCACGCCTGTAATCCCAGCACTTTGGGAGGCCGAGGCGGGTGGATCACGAGGTCAAGAGATCGAGACCTGGTCAACATGGTGAAACCCTGTCTCTACTAAAAATACAAAAAATTAGCTGGGCATGGTGGCACGTGCCTGTAATCCCAGCTACTCAGGAGGCTGAGGCAGGAGAACTGCCTGAACCCACCCAGGAGGCGGAGGTTGCGGTGAGCCGAGATCGCGCCATTGCACTCCAGCCTGGGTAACAAGAGTGAAACTCCGTCTTAAAAAAAAAAAAGTTACATGTTTTATATGACTCAGCCATTCCACCCCTGGGTATTTACCCAAGAGAAACAAAAGCATATGTTCACAGGAAGACTAATTCATACATTTTCATAGCTTTATTTGTAATAGCCAAAATATCCATTGGTAAGTGAGTGGATAAATTATGGTAGAACCATTTAATGGAATACTATAGCGATAAAAAGGGGACAGAAAATGGATGAATCTCAATGTGTAAAAGAAGCCAGGTATATACATACTGTATGCTTTTATTTATTTAAAATTACAAAACTACAAAGTATAATGAGATTAGTAGTTGCCTAGGGGTCATGTAGGGGGTGATTGGAGGATGTATTTTTAAGCTTCTAGTCTGGGAACTGATGCTAGTGATGGAGAATTTGTAGGAATTTCCTGTGAAAGATGAGTCTTACTTTTAGTTAAGTATCAAATATTAAGTATAACAGCTGGGTGTGATAGCTTGCACCTGTAATCCTGCACTTCGGGAGGCTGAGGTAGGCAGATCACTTGAGGCCAGGAGTTCGAGACCAGCCTGGCTGACATGGCAAAACGCTGTGTCTACTAAAAATACAAAGATTGGCTGGACATGATGGCACACTCTGTAGTCCCCGGTCTTCAGGAGGCTGAGGCAGGAGAATCGCTTGAATCTGGGAGGCAGAGGTTGCAGTGAGCCTAGATTGTGCCACTCCCCTCCAGCCTGGGTGACAGAGCGAGGCTCTGTCTCAAAAACCAAAAGCCTGTCAATGAAAATGCCTTGGAGAAGGGGTCAGGGAGTTAATCAAGCCTGGCCAGTTGGAACAAGTTCTTCGAAGTTGATTTAATGAGATGCAGTTGAGCTTCCTTGAGGAAATGGCAAGTGGACGAGAATCAGTTGGAAAAACAGTATTGTGAAGCCTGGATTAGACAACTAATTTGTCAGTATGTTTTACAAGGCTAGCATAACATATCAAGATATTGAGGATGGACCAGCCTGGCACAGTGGCTCATGCCTGTAATTTCAGCACTTTGGGAGGCCAGGGCGGGTGGATCACCTGAGGTCAGGAGCAAGACCAGCCTGACCAACATGGTGAAACCCTGTCTACTAAAAATATAACATTAGCTAGGCGTGGTGGTGTGTGCCTGTAATCTCAGCTGCTTGGGAAGCTGAGGCAGGAGAATCGCGTGAATCCGGGAGATAGCAGTTGCAGTGAGCCAAGACTGCGCCTTTGCACTCCAGACTGGGGACCAACAGTGAAACCTTGTCTCAAAAAGAAAAAAGATGATGAGGATGGACTGTAAGGTTGGAGTGGGGTAATCTACAGCCCTCTTAATACCAATTGAAGACTCCAATAAAATGGCAAGTGTAATCTACTAAAAGATAAAACGATGACTAAGTCGGGGGTTGTCTCAGGAATATTTGCAAGACTGCTACAATATTAGAAAACATGAGGTTCTTTATATTAAAGGGGGAAAA